AATGAAGTAAGTCTTGGCAACGCCAACCTTGTTTATCATGAAACCGCTGACAATCATGCCTGAGCCGACTCCTAGTCCCCAGTGACATCCACCTAATAAACCTACAGTCAAACAAACATGAAGTTAGTTGGCGAGGGGCGAAGCCCAGAGTCGATAGAAACATCGAGCAGTTCAGTCGGGGGAAAGAGTGCCGTTTTCACTCGAAGACTTTCCGAATCATTTTATCCAATCAGAAACTAGCGCGAGTACTCACGGCTCCGAAAACAATCGCGCCAGCAAATACGTCATATATGTTGCTTAGCAACTTCTGGGAAGAAAACCGCGGGCTCGACTCAGTCCCGTCTCGAAAGCAAGATTTCGTCATCAACTGGTACTTGTTCCCCCAACTGAGTTATGCCGAGAAAAACAAAAACCTACTATTTTGATCAGCATCTGATTTCTCCTTAAAATATCAGTAAAATGTCAAGCAAACAGGTGGAGAGAATTAAGAAAATCATCAACTAGGTATATTGTGTTGATGCACCACTAAATTATTCGGACTAACATTAAAACGAGTGTCTAGCCATCAGTCAGGAGAATTGCCCCGGGTGGGGGGGGGGGGAGGGTCCATCCAAAGGGGTCCTTTTTTAGGCTCGAGTTATATGAAAGGGTAGGGATTTCACGAGTTGAAGTATAGAAAAGGGTAGAGAAAACTGTCATTTAGGTGTTTTAAAAGGCCTTTCAAAATATCTCTATATTAAAGGATTAACTTTTCAGTCAAAAATGGTATATAAAAGGGTAAGGGTTTGGACCTCGGGGCGGAGCCTCCCCGTACAAAACTTTGTTCAGTTCCCCCCCCCCCCCCCACCCCCCTCCCCCTCCTCCCACTCCGTAGATAATTTATATCTTGACTTACCTTGGGTAGCGGTATGGAAGCCAACCCGTAAGGACACAGTACCACCAAACACTACACAGGCTGCCCAGCTGGTCCCATATAACAGTCCCTGGACAATAAACAGGGCCATGCCCAGCCAGGGATTCAGAACAAATGCCAAGCCCATGTACACGGCTACGTACAGCAACAAACACGCAGCTATGGTGCACGCTAGTCCAAACTTGTTAACAACACTCCCTGAAATAACATATCCGACTACAGCTACAGTGTAGCGCAAACCAGATGCGATACCTAACATGTAGGGTTCGGCCCCGAGTTCATCCAAATACCACAAACCAAAGCTATCGTGTAAACCAAGAAACATACCCAAGAAGCAAGCCACAAGAACATATACCGCGTTATGAAATTTCATGAGTTCTTTGACTAATGACAACAAGTTAATATCTGTAGATATCTCCCGGTCTGGATATGTAACTTCCATGAAGATAGCAGTGAACATCGCCACAGCAATGAACCCGGCAAAGAAATAAAATGAAATGTAATAGTTATTCACCACCTCGCCGCAGACCTCCGATTGGTAAAAATCGACGACGACTCCGACGATAAACGAACCAGCGCCGACACCGACTTCGCCCCACATTCGGATAGAGCCGAACGCACTGACGTTTTCTTTTAGAAAGCCCACGACCAGTGCATCGGGCATAGTGTAAACAACAGAACCGACGATTTGACAGGCAATGATTATAACCAGAAAAATAATAAAAATTCTCTTAATCTCGAATTCGTCGACTTTACGGATAAAAACCTGTGGCGTACTGTTGTTGTTTAACTGTTCACCTGTATCAACACCTTTCATGTTCGTTTACCCTTCTCTCGCTATTCACTGTACTTGTATGTGAATAACCTAATGATATTCCTCCAGAGGTGAAAATCAAGGACGTGACCTCGGTTTTGTTTGCTGTAGTCTCGATGCACTTTTGATTTTGTGGTTGGACAGCCATGAGCAACATAGTCCCTGTAGTAAATGACACAAGTGAAGCAAATAAAATGACTTTTCTTATTCGAAACTTGTCGCCGACTGTTCCCCACAATGGCGCGCCGATAAATTTTGTGAACATCCTCAATCCAGTTAGAGTTCCCGCATGTCCGGCAGACATTCCAAGCTGCTTGAAGTACAATGCAAGATAAGGAACGGAACTTCCAATGGCGGAGAAGAAAAGGAAGAAATAAGCTTTGAAAGTGAATTCAGATGAGTGACACGTCGCTGAAGAATCCGGAGAACGCGCAGTTGACTCATGTTTTTCCATTTTACGGTGGACATCGTTGTCGTCCATGTTGCAGGCAGGGATAGTCAGTTGATATTGCTCTAGCCTGGCTGTCGACAGTGGGTCCGAGTTCGTCTAGCTTGATTTAATAAATATTCCGTGGTTTAATTTAAGACCGATATTTGAATATACACAATAATCTTATAATATTTTCGAATTGTTCTTATTTTTCACTTGGATCGGTTTAATTTCTTTGTTCGTTTCTGGGAACAAATTCAATAACCCTGTCAATTACTAACTCTGAAAAGCTGGGGGCGGCTTTGCAATTTGGTTGTTTTGTTTGTTTGTTTATAATTGTTTGTTAATTTGCCACACACAAAAAAATAGAAAACAATTACAATAATAATAATAGAATGAAGAGGCGAAGGGGCCTATGAAGAAACCATAACCATAAGGCTTATAATATTAGCCCCCTTCGTTACATTACTTGTTAAGACATTACGTTGGAAACTATGGAATTATTAACGGACGTTATGTAGGTCTAAATAATAGTTTTTAAAGATATAATTTTTAAGCTTAGATTTAAAATAAGGTAGAGAGAGAGATTGAGTTAACGATATCGTCATCTAAAGAATTAAATTACTTCGGTCCTTGATAAGTTACGGAGAATAGTTTTGCATTTGTTCTACTGAAAGGTAAGTTATAAGCATGAGTTGTAACAAAGGAGAGCGGGGCTGAAAACAACAGCTCATAATTAACAATAGAAAAACAATCATGGATTATATATTCCCCTTGCCTTGGTCCTCAACGAAATTCATAATTCTCGAAAATTTAATGTGTCCTTTATTTATTTTTTCAAGAAGGTCACGACTTTTTTTAATCGTGTTTCGGATGATCCTTCATCCATCTTCAGTACAAGTAACAGAACACGTTAGTGGGTGTGATATAATATAATAAAAATACAATGGTATGGAAAATATAGCTAATTACAACGTGACAATAAATATAGAACATATAACTAATTACAACTAGAGAAGAAATATAGAAAACATGACTAATTACGGCGTGACGATAATAAAATAAAAAATAAAACATAACCGTGAATATATAGTGAAACACCACATCCAAATTTTCAGGGTTTTGATCTGGTTTTGATATGAGATCAAACACTTGCATTTTTAATTATTTCTAGTGATCTTGATATCCAATTTAAGGTGACGCAGGACCCTTGCTCTCATTATGTATGTATTTATTTAAAGAGTATGCACGAACCATAACGACTGATGCCGACAATAGCGATGTTTCTCGTTACGTCACCTATTGTTATTAATGTGCCAACCAGAGAACTATTGGCTGTTGAAAACAAAGAGTTCTTTTGTTTAATGGTTGGCAAATTTGAATAACAAAACAAATGTTGATAAACAGTGAACACTCCTATACGCGAAATATTTATGAGGATATTTTTTTTACGTTCTTAATAATGTATTCAATAAATGCTGTTTTCGGCGTATTAGTAATTACACGTGCGATTGAAATATTCAGGTACGAGCTTGTTGTGCATTTCACTCTCGAAAAATACTATTTCGAGAGCTCGTTGTCTCAACTGAAAAACGGTATTTTTTACAGGTAATTCAAAATTATCAAACCGTAATCCATCGCCACTACTGAGTTGAAACGTAAAAAGGTGTACATGTGTATTTACGGTGGTTCAGTTTGTTTCGATTAAAGCATTTCAGTGCACAGAAATTGCAATGTAAATCAACAGCGTTCGGTACACGTGGCGCGTTCTTGCCATGGTGTTCAAGAAATATGTTGTTGTTTCCGATACAAATAAAGTTATTTATGACTGTTGTCTGGTTTCTTTGAATAGCGTTGACTGAATACGAAAAATAAAGAGTCCGCGAAATTGAATGAAATATATAACAAATTTAAGAACTTGCATGCTGAAAATTGCGAAAAATAATTTATCCACTTGTTTTTTTATATAACTGGCGATGGTATTTATCAGGCCTTGCCTTTCTCTTGTGCACTACAAAACTCTCGAAATCTTCACTCACCTTGAAAAGTACGCGGTTAATTACCACGTTATTGTACTTATTTTTACGGCACGTGCACTGGAATACGGCAAATTATCATAATTAGATTCACAGCTCTAAAGGCGTCGTTGTTGAATGTATTATTGACTCGTGTGATCTTCGGAGACGGGAAAAACTACAACTTTGTGTCCAAGCTTTCGTCGCGGATATAGAATTTCCGGAATTGATACTCGAGGTAGGTAAACTTAGTACATTGTATTGTGATGTGACAGAAGCGGAATTTCAAAAAAGCCTTTCAAAAAGAAGATCGAACGTTTCAAAGTCTAATTTTCACATTTTTACTCCCTTAGATGCTAACGACTTTCAACGAGTCTTGAAATTGCAAAATCTGCTTCTGTCACATCACAAAAGAGGTTATTATCTACCACTAGGTAATACAAACATTTAATTTAGAAACGCTTCTCAAGTTGAAAGCTTGGACACAAAAATTGCATGTCCGCAATTCTAACTTTAGAAGCTTAAAGTATCACCGTACAGCGCGATCTGCCAGAAAAACCACAATCATGATATAGTTCCATCATCCGCCAATATCCCTATTAAGTTTCAGCGGAATCGACTTTCAAAATTCGGAGATTTGAAGGTTTAGAAGACAACACCCACCCCAGAAATTAAGCTTATGAATTTATTCATGGGCAAGGGTCCTGCGCCACCTTAATGTAATCTCAATATTCTTGCCGCATTTATATGACTTATAGACGTCTTTTACTGAAAACTATAAATTATTATCATTGAATCATTTTTCATAGGAAAAAACAGAGCTCAAAGTTTTGACCACATTAGTCGAACCTGTGACCTTCCGCACAGTAGTCGGACGCTCTACCATTGAGCTACAAGATGGACCCCTCTCCACTTCCTGTATCAGTTAATTTCTTCTTTCTATTATTATTGTAATTTTTTCTATTTTTTGTGTGGCAAATTAATAATCAAACAATACAAGATACTTGAATGAGAGTGACTTAGGCCATTAAATAGATTATCATCATGCTCGAAATTAAAAGCCGGCAAACTGAACAAATTTTCACTCATTTCCTTTTGACTTAGTTTCCCCAACGCCTTTAAAAACTGTTAATTAAGAACTGCAAAACAATATGTCATTACTACTTTTCAGAGCTTACGTTTGGTAACCGTAAATTAAGAACCGAAAAACAATGGTCAACTACTACTAATTAGTGCTTTCTTTTTAAAGCTTTTGTTTGAGAATGTTTAATCAATAACAATAGAAAAACAATCATGGATTATATATTCCCTTCGTCATATTCTCCTTGCCTTGCGTGGTCATCAACGAAATTCATAATTCTCGAAATTGTTATGTGTTCTTTTTTTTTTTCAAGAAGGTCACGACTTTTTTTAATGTATGACATGTTTCGGATGATCCTTCATCCATCTTCAGTACAATTAACAGAACACGCCAGTGGGTGTGATAGAAATACAAGAAAAATACAATGGTATGGAAAATATAGCTAATTACAACGTGACAATAAATGTAGAACATATAACTAATTACAACTAGAAAAGAAATATAGAAAATATGACTAATTGCGGCGTGACGATAAAATAAAAAACAGAACAGAGAATATATACTGATAGACAAACAAAACTAAATAGCCAATGAAAGATTTGACATGAAATATTTGCCTGTTGAGTGAGGGTTTTTCCCAATGAATATGTAGCACCTCCTTGATTTTAAGCTGGAAAGGAGGTGGAGGGTCCAGGATGGAAAAACAATTTTCAGAACATAAAGCTCGGCAATAGGAGTGTTCACTGTTTATCAACATTACGTCAAATTTGTTTTGTTATTCAAATTCACCAACCATTAAACAAAATAACTCTTTGTTTCAACAGGAAAGTAAGTTCTCTGGTTGGCACATTAATAACAATAGTTGAAAAATGTGGGAATTTCAACATTTTTCAACACCTCAAAAGCTCGTATAATTGCCGAGCTTTATGTTCTGAAAATTGTCAGTTTTCCATCCTGGACACTGCCTTCACCTCCTTCCAGCTTAAAATCAATTTAGTTTTGTTTGTCTATCAGTATATATTCTCTGGTCTGGTTTTTTATATTATTATTATTATCGTCACGCCTTCGGACCATCACTTTATTCTGGTATTTTATTCTGGTATTCAATGTCGACATTCTCGTTGTACTAATCCGTTGAAATTTTTTGTGAATTTTGGGCATTCGTCGTTTTGTTTGGACTAATTATAGTATGTGATTACTGAAGTATCGAGAAGTACTTGTGAGTGGGGTTTTTTAAACGGATAAAGTTGATAAGCCTGAACATGCGCCGAACCATGATACATGGTTCTGACAAAGCTATCTGTTTCTGTGGCTCCTTCCATTGTCTAATCGTTCTTCATGGAAATAATTATTAAGTAGTTGCAATAATCACTAGGAATAGCAGCCGAGGTTGCGTACATGTGTTTGCAGGCGGTGTGCGTCACGAGATTTGGCCAATCAGCGAGCTGTATTCGAACAATAGTCTTCGCGGCAAAGAAGAAGGCATTTCGGAGCGAAGTGCTCGCAGAATTTGTTCATTTTCCGGGATTGCTTGGTCGTTTTGGGAAACACGTTTACAGGAAATTGAAGACAGTTATATTTCCTTTGCTCTGGTCATTTTTATTGATTACTTGCGAACATTTTGTATGCGCTGGCACCTCTCAAATGTAGCGCGGTCGATCTGGCCGACATGATGTCTTCATTCAAAATTTCACACGTTTTCATTCATTTCAAATTCGTTATTCTGATCAATTTCAAGTGTTCCATTCTTACATGACGTTAGTTCAATCCTTCTTCTTTTGAAATTTCGGGGTCTACCCGGGTCTACGCCAAATAGTTTTTCTTGCTACAAGTCGTAGAACACTGAATGGTTTGTCGAAAAAGCGGTCAACTGAGGTTAGTTATTACTTTGCGGTCTGCGAGCCGTGAGTCTGTTTTGCTAGCAGTGAGCCCCTTTTTGCGAGCTATTTTACTGGACACAAAGCCGCTTATTTTTTCTGTTATATCTTACAATCCACAAGATGTAAATCTAGTTTCTGACTCGCTGGTTATTTTTTAAAAAGCTTATTTGCGGTGACCTCGATTGCGTGACATTAACTGACCCTTGCAGTCTTGTACGTAAAACGCTCTCCTGTAGCGCGCATCAGCGTCGTTTTAAAATTTATTTTCCTACAATTCGCAGGACCGTAGATTGCCCAGCTTTCATTGAAGCGTTTTACAGCAAAATCTTCCATGCGATAGAATTCATGTTCACCATGCACCAGACTAGTACTCATATCAATTTGATTTTCTACCTGCAGTAACTTTTATACGATATGTATGATCGCTTCGCCATACACTTGTAAAATGCCCGGGTAAAATGGCTTTGAAAGCAAACACTGACAACTGTTACGTGCCCTTCAACAGTTCAAAAGTGAGCAAAGATAAATCAGTATAGATTCTTATTGTATAACTCGGGTAGAACAACTGACTAACTAGCAATCCGCACACATTATTCACTTGCCCGAGGTGTTGACTCTCTCGCGTCAAAGCCATAATGAGTCGTTTCACAAATTCACCCATGATGCTTTGCCCACCCGTGACGCACACCGCCTGATGTGTTTGTGAGCTTGTTTTAATTCCGGAGGGGGATGGATGGGTGGGTGGGGTTAGTCAATTCAAACTCAAAGTATAAAAGTTTCAGGGATATGATCCTTTAGTGCAGGGCATATGACTGACCGACTGTCGGCCAACAGTCGGCCGACTGTTGACCAAGTCAGTCGGTGCTTCACTGTCCTTTCTACGTCTACCATCTATGCAGGAAATGAAAATGTTTCCATAAAACAACCACAAGTGGCAGCTTGTCAAACGTTAGTCCAGTTCTGGCCCCTCTCTGTCACGCAACGCTACGCTCACGTCAAGGGTCCAGCGACAATTGTCTGCGCATACTCACGATAAACCAATCACAGCGCATCTTAGCTCACATGTGACTTTTAAACTCGACAAACCGAGTCGAAAAGTCGAGAAAGAGAAAATATATTTGGTCGCCATCAGTGCCTTCAATGGAGATTTTAAAACTAAAATACTCCGCTCTTCCTTTGACTTAACACCTCGCAAATTATCACAGGCATGAAGAGAATGTCAGAGGAGAACATATTTCAGTGTTGTCTTGATCAGTCGGTATATTATCGTTCACGTATTAATCGCTTATATGTCAGCACGTTTATAATTGCATGTTTATATAATAATTGTATGTTCTCGCGTGATTAATTGTAGCCTAGTTGTTTCGTCGGATATGATGTTTCAATTAAGTCACGAATGCTGTTATTTTAGTGTGCGAGTTCTCTTGTATTAAACAAAAGCAAGCACGTTTCGGTGGAGCTCTCCCACCGAGTGAAATAAACCTTCTAGATTGTAGTTGGAGTGTTTTGTCCGTTACTGGTACCTGCTACATCTTTACACAAGAAGAAACAGCCGAACTTACAGCATCTACAAATACAGGATCGTATTCAGGAAACATTTCTCTATACTTTTCACTGACCGAGGGCGCCGGTAGGCTCGATTTCCGCCGCTCTCTCGAGTCCGGTCTTCGTTCCTCCCCGAAGTCCTCTTCCTCCTCCTCCCTTCGGGGGATGAGCGCGGGCTCATTTTCCCGAACAGCGGCTGGTAATCGAGCCTAGGGCGCCGGAAGAGATCGAAACATCCGTCATCTTGTCAGTATAAAAATACATGCGCAGTAGCGATTAGCTAAGAAGCTGACTAACCGTTGAGCGCAGACAATTGTCGCTGGACCCTTGACGTGAGCATAGCGTTGCGTGACAGAGAGGGGCCAGAACTAGACTAGTCAAACGTATGAAATACTATGCTAATTACAGCAAGAAGCTATAAAATATGTTCCTAAAAGTTAAAATTAGGGCATGTTCGACCCCTTAATGTCGCCATGGCAAAAATTTAAATGTTACTATAATTTTAATGGCAGCAGGGATGGCACAGTGGTGAGAGTACTCGCCAACCACCAATGTGGACTGGGTTCGAATATCGGAACCAGCCTCATGTGGATGTGGGCATTCTCAGCTGCATTCGTGTACCTTGAGTCTTCACTCCTTAGTCCTTACTGCACAAGCTTGACGACATTCGACATTGGATTCACATAAAACCACAGTTTGCGAAATTTAACCGCTCACCGCTTACGAATTTTGCATCGCGCGCCAACAAGACCGCCAGCTACGCAGGCTATAAACATGTACGCAAAGCGGACCTATTATTTTGGATTGCGTGACTAAATATTCCCGCGTAAATCGCGCGCGCAAGTGCTAATTTACCAGCCGCTGTTTGGGAAAATGAGCCCACGCTCATCCCCCGAAGCTCACCCAAGTGAAACGGCGTTTTAAAAGATATCATGGCTGTTTTTTGAGGAAAAGTGGCAGGAAACCAAGGAAAACATCACCAAAAGAGGCATTTTCATGTTTAACAACGATCTATTAAGCGATGTGAAACTTGTTGGTCGATCCTCGAGTGACGAAGGTGAGCGCAAGATGGCGATTCCTGCCCACAAGTTTGTTCTGGCGCCTTGTAGTCCTGTGTTTTTCGCCATGTTTTGTGGAGAAATGGCAGAGATATCGGACTCTGTTGACCTGCCAGACTGTGAGTACGAGGACTGTTGGAAATGCTACGATACATGTACAGCGAGAAATCAGAATTAAACGAAAGTAATGTGATGCAAGTGCTGTATGTGGCAAAGAAATACATGGTAAATTCACTCGCTGAAGATTGTGTTAAGTTTCTGCAAGAAAACCTGAACACAGGAAACGCGTTATGTGTTCTGTCACATGCTCAGCAATATGATGAGAAGATTCT